AGATGATTCGTCCCAAAGATATTCACTGGTGCTCCATCACCCCAGAGGACACAGTTCCACTGTTCTGCAGGCCGGTGCTGTTATCAGAGCTCTCTGCAAAGTATTTATCTCAGAAATAATATTGCTATGACTAGAAGTGTCACGATTCACACAATGTATGAAACAGTAGCGTCTCGATTCAATAAGTGTTTTTAACAGCAAAAATAAGGAGTGCCTAAAATGTGCCTTACCTCAATAATGCTTACCTCACTAATGCTGAAATAATGTTCAGTTCAGCAGGGCATAACGTTGCTGTTGGTACAAAACCTCATATCTCCATTTTTGTTATTTTTCAGTTTTTGACATAATTTGACAGTACCTGTTGTCCTTTACATTGTGTGTAAATTTCATGATGAATGGAAATTAAAATTACTTGGGGGGAAAAAAGTCTGGTTCCACTGACTTACATTAAAAGTAGATTGTTTTTTCTTCTCCTGTAAAGTTACCATTTTTGAGATACGTAAGATATTTGAAACAAAACTTTGCTTTGTGTTCTCCTGATCTAACTCTCTCACTACAAAGTAATGTCAGTGCCGAGCTGACACACTAGCCCCAAGCTAACATGCTAGTCACAGTACATTGATACAGTGGACAGCAGTACTATTTGATACAATACGATATGCTGTATTGTCTGCAATGATAAAAATACATCGTGCATCCTTGTAGAAAATCGATTGTTATATAGCAATGCTGTTAGCAATGGGTTAAAGCATGTTTGAGGTTGTTGAAATAAATTTCGTGCGAAGGACTTCTGTGGTATGAATATCAATTTCTAATTGTTTCCTTGTACTTAATAAAAGAACAGACAAACTATTGCCTTGAAATACACTTAAAATTTAGCAGCTCCCATTGGCTTTCATTACAAGTGTACTGTGAGTCAACAGGTACAAGCAAACACATTCAAACTACTGTCCATGATAATAAACGATATGATACAGATATAGTTAGGTGAAAGATAGAGGCTGAAAAAGCTGGAGAATACATTTAATAAACCCTGAACTCCCCCTTTACGAAGGTCCGCAGCTATGAAGGTGTGACATTGGTCATCCAGGATTGTTGTCTTGGTTCCAGCTGCTGTTAAATGTTGTGGTGCTTTTTTCGAAGCTCAGTGGACAAGGCCAGCATTGTGTCGTATTGTATTGAGTGCCTGAGCAGTAGGGAGATTTACTCTTGTTTGATAGAGTAGGAGGTATTGATGAATGTTTACTGTATTAGATTGTATTGATGTCTCTTGAGAGGATGTCGATATCCACATGCGTTTGTGCTGACACTTCACTACAGCGGCCGCTCCTCAATTAAGCTTATAGTGTGTTTGTTGTGTTGTACAAGTACAAACTGTAATGATCTCTTGCTTACATTCTCTTGCGCTCGCTCTCTCTCTCTCTCTCTCTCTCTCTCTCTCTCTCTCTCTCTCTCTCTCTCCCCCTCTCTCCCTCTCTCCCTCCCTCTCTCTCGCTCGCAAATGCACACTCACACACGCATTCTCTCACACTTTCTAGGCCTACTGTCACCCATACAGATTTATTTCGTTTCCAGTCAAAGCAGCCATTAAGTAGATGTTTTTAATTTTTCAGCATCAGGAAACAACAGAAAACATGTTTAACAGAAAATTACACAGACGCCTTTACAACTAAATATAATCTCAGGTTTTATATATTTAAAATTTCACAAAAACCTGCAGGGATATTTTTCCACACCTCAAAAGTTTTAGATGTTGGTTGCATTTCCTGCTTCTTACAATTTCTAAGTCCCAAACACATTTAGTGATTCAGCAGCTTCTTTATATGATTTGCATTGTCTATTTCCTCTAATGGCTTCACATCCTTTCAGACCCTTAGTGTTGAGTTGTCTTCTAACTGTGGAAGAATTGTCAGAAATACCTGTGGATTTTTTCAGATCTAAAACAAAAATGGAGTCCCGTTTTCTCTGTAGTTTTTCATAATTTTTTAAACTTCAGTTTTGGAGACTCTTCCGCCCCCCTCCACTTTTGTTTCCTTCCTTTTGCAAGTATATTGTCTTATATCTAACCTCCTCAGAAATATCTCCTGAACAATGAACTGACTTGTATTTACTGCCTGTTTTGCCTGGAAGTTAAATTAATGAAGGACGGTCTCCTACTTTTGCACAGCTCTGTATATTTTTTAAAGTTTAGGCTAGTGCGACTGTGTGTGTGTATGACCTTCTCTTTCTCTCTAACCCAGTTCCAGCACATTGGGCATTGAGACCTCAAAGCCCATAGCTGCGACCTGAATATGGATGTTCTAACGCACACCCACCCCTCCTCCTCCTCCTCCTCCTCCTCCTTCTTATCACACTTTCCCTGATTGCCTCTCAGTCTAAGTCAGTTTTCCCTTGTCTGGTCAGCAGGTCACTGACCTCTCTCTCTGTCTCTCTCTCTCTCTCTCTCTCTCTCTCTCTCTCTCTCTCTCTCTCTCTCTCTCTCTCTCTGATCCTCTGAAGTGACTTTGATGCTCTGTCAGCAGTCACTGAGGTCTATCCTGATTGGCTGGTTGCCACTGTGACTTTACCCTGCCTTAACTTTGATTGGTCAGCTGCTAGGCTGATGCCCAAACCAAGCCCTGAGCTGACCCTGAATAATCTCTACAGGCCAATCAGTCTCTCTCGCTCTCTCTCTCACTCACTCTCTCTCTCCCTCTCTCCTCCCTCCCTCCCCACTTTTTTTTGCTCTTTCTTTCTTTCTTTCTTTCTTTCTTTCTTTCTTTCTTTCCCCTATGTTTTTCACCTTCTTTCCTCTCCATCTGTCTTATTCTTTCTTTCCCCATTGTGCAGTCTCTCTTTCTATTTCAGTTTTCTTTCTTTTGTTCTTTCTTTCTTGTTTGTTTGTCTCTCTCTCTCTCTCTCTCTCTCTCTCTCTCTCTCTCTCTCTCTCTCTCTCTCTCTCTCTCTCTCTCTCTCTCTCTCTAATGCTCCCCTGTGGAGCGGATCAGTGTCACTATCAGACTCTCACCGTGTAAGACATGGAGCATTTCACACTGTGTTAATACACACACACACACAGACAAAGCAGTCGAATAGCCAACTATGAAAGAGATAATAGAAGAACAGACATGGAAGGAAGAAAGAAAAAAGCATAGGAAGCATAACATTTGGAGAGTTATTCTCACTCTAGATAGAGCAGAGTATTGGATAAACCATCAATGCAACTGAAGCAGTGAAGAATCTCTTCATCTCCTCCTCCGGCTCACACTTTCTCCACACAGTGTAACTCAGGGGAGGAATGAGTCAGGGCATGTTGAAGGTTTGGTTGAGTTGATTTCGTTCTGCATTTGTCTGTATATCAGTCATCCTGTGTTCTGATAGACTCATTACAAATAAGTTAAAATTCATACCCCAGGCGGCAACCTTGAGAGAGTTCAGCTCTGCAGTAAAAAGGGGTTAATTCACTTCTGATTCCTCTTCTGTTCTGACTGACTTCTGTCTGATCCTGTCTCCTCCTTTTAATTGCAGACTAGCACATCACTTTTCTGAGCCTGAAAAGAAAAAGCCTGTGAAGTTAAAATGATAGTTTGGTAAAAATGTACCCATTTTCTCCCTTACCACAGAAGTACTTGATAAGCCAGTCTTTGGAAGGCTACACGTGGTTAGTTGTTGTTAAATCTATTTTATTTTTAGGTCCTTTTTTTAAAAAAAACTGATTACTCTTTAAATGATTTGAGTACTAATATTATTAATAGTGACAGCACTAATTACATTTACATTTATGCTTTTGGCAGATGCTCTCAGACCACCTTACAATTTAATGATATCACAGAAGTTGTTGAATGTAGCATTAGGCGTCTTGACCAAGCATTGTTTGCTTGCCCAGAATAGGAATCAAATCCTAGTCTGCCAAATAGAAGGCAGCAGTGTTTCCCTCTACACTATACCAACCATTAAAACTGCTAATATTGTGTGTTGTGAAAATATCTTAAAGTATTACAGTTATTCATTCCTGTCATTTCATCCATCAAGACAAGCCACCCATTCCAGCAGCCTCCTCTGCACAGCACTGATCATATAGGCTGGCTTTTAGCAGTGCTGCAGGTTTGTCCAGCATTCTGGCAGCCACACTTTTTCCCTACAGGGCTGCTGGGGCAAAGGCCATGTCCACTGAGACTGTTCGGCTCGCACTTTCTCTTCTGTGCACGTGCACTGGTCACTTCAGTGACTGCCGTGCTCTGTTAGTGACCACTGAGGTCTGACCCTGATTGGCTGGTTGCCACCACCAATTTGGCCTGCCCTTACTTTGATTGGCCAGTTACCAGGCCAGTCCCCAGCGAGAGCACAGATTCAGCTAAAAGCCCTGCGCTGTCCCATGATACACTCCGGAGGAGACTCTCTTATTCTCCTATTTATTCTTTCCACCTTTCTCTTCTTCATTCTCTCTCACTCTTGCTCACTGGCTTATCCCCCTCAGTGTCCAGTGAGTAAGGGGGAGAAATTAGTCATCGCTGGTCGACTTCACTTGATTTTTCTGTCTGCCAGGATAAATATATTCCTCCTGTTGTGAAATAGGAAGTTTCAGCAGTGGCATCGCTTCAGTTGGTTTTGCTTTAAATCAGAGAGAGTACGTAGAGTGGAAGAGGATGATGATTTTTGAAAATTGGCACTGAGACTAAGAGGTGTGTTTGCAAGAGAAACATGGGTGTAGGAGAGATGAAAGCACCTGCCTATGATGTGAAAGAATGAAACCCCGGATAAAGCGAGGATCAGATCTTGCAGAAATAAACAGTTTAACAGAGGGCTTATGATGGTGGGTACATGGACATGGAGATTGTCCAGAAAAAGCACATAAACTACTCTGATGAAAATATGAAATAATAAGAAAAATTTAATAAATAACTATTTTCATTATACTTTGGCTGAGGTTGTACAAGTTATTCATTTAAGGCTGGACATAACTGAAATGTAAATGAGTAAAAGCCTGTCATTGTTCATATACTGTTTGTTGTTGTTTGCAGAGAGTCAGCGAGCCTACCGATTTGTTCAGGGCAAAGACTGGGGCTTCAAGAAGTTCATAAGGCGGGACTTTCTGCTGGACGAAGCCAATGGGCTGCTTCCTGACGACAAACTGACCCTCTTCTGTGAGGTAAGGCCCCATCTGATTGGCTGATTCTTGATCACTGATTAATTACATGTCTCCATTCAGTGGGGGTTGAACCTGCTACAATAATCGATTGTGGATCAGCTGTTAGTGGTAGAACTCATTCCCTTTGGCTGGCCTCATCTCTTATTTAGAAAAATGGAGAACTATAGCTGAGCCTACAACAGAGTTCTACCCACAGATCAATATCAGTTGCTTGTATCCTGATGTTCTTTGGGGTTCTGTGGTTTATGCTCTGTCATAAACATCATACACAATGCTGGTTTTATTTCACTTTCACTCTCATTCCAAACTACACATTATTTGAACATCAGACTAAGTAAACAGATACTAATATGAGATCTGCCATCTGTGTATGCAAACAAATATGCCTATCCCCAGTTAAGACAAGATTGATTGAAATGAGGGTGAACTAATGTGTGCTTGTGATGCAGAAATGATTTATTTACAATAAGAAAGTAAATACATAATTGAGAATTTTGAAAAATGCATGCAGGGCCAGTTTCCTTGGAGTCTGGTCTGTCCAGTGTACGAGATGAAAAACAGTGTAAAACTCCCAAAGACTAGTCTTCTTTCCAGCTGTGATTGTATGTTTGAGGTGCGAGAAGCACATTGGCTCTTTAGATTTCTCTGTGGAGAGCATCATCGCCATGCAGCCTTCAGTCATATTGCAAAGAACATTACAGTAGCCAAGACTTAAGAAAAAAAATGATATCGATCTCATATTCTTGCAAGCCTAGGATCATAAGAGTCTCTGACAATCTCACATTAAAGTCATGTTATTTACAAGTTTGTGCTCATGTCTTAGGTAGACTAATGAATTGATGGGACATTCTAGCCAAAAATGTAGCATTTATTATTTATTTGTCATGTTATGTACTATTCTGTTTAGCAGAATTCATGATTTTGTAGCCTTTTCCATCAGTGTTCTGTCACTACAATACCCAGTGTAGATCACACAAACACATCATATAGCTGTTTGGAAAAGCTCTCCAACCATGATTTAAAAAAAAAAACTCGTAGTATAGTAGTATAATCACTATATATCAGTGCAATATTTGTCTTCCAAGCAGTACCGTTATCTGTCTGGTTTCCTTCTGCATTAACCAGCTAATGGCGAGAAATAAAACATTTCAATTAGCCCACCCTCAAGTACCAGCCCCAAAGCAGTTATATATATTTTTAAAGTTCGTCCCACCCACAAGATACGTCAGAAGGGGTTTTTCCTACTCTTTAAACCAGAAAATCACACTCTAGAGACTACTATGGCACATTGTAAGAGGCGAATAGGCATGCTTAGAGCAAATGTAGTGCTGGATACATTTTTCGGTCACACTTCATTTGGATGGTCCCTTGTAGACGCTCTACAGATACTTAAATCATTAACACACCTTTTGGTGATGTTCAGTTGATTATCAACAACATTATGGTTAAGGTTAGGAGTAGATGTGGGTTTTGCCTTAAGGTTAGGGTTAGATTTAGGTTTAGGGATAGATTAAATAAACTCTTTCACACTGAACTTTGAAAGTTGGGTTGCTTTTAATGGATATTTAGTTGAACATTACCTCTAGACAGACTGAGCATTTACAAAGCATCTACAGTGGACCATCCAAATAACACTCAACTTCAAATTAGGTTGCATTTAGGTTGCATTTAATGGATATTTAGTTGAATGTTTATTATAGACAGACTGAGCATTTACAAAGCATCTAATGTGGAACATCCAAATAACACTCAACTTCAAGTTCAGTTGCATTTAATGGATATTTAGTTGAATGTTACTGAAAGGTATACTGAGCATTTACAGACCATCTAAGTAAAGTGTTACCCATTTTTCATTTTGTTTGCCATTCCCATTTAAGAGTGGACTACCAACTTAACTTGCTAACAAAGATCCAAAGATCTGTTGGCTCAATAGAAACCAACCGATGCAAAAAACACTTAGAAAAGAAGCCAGTGGGCAGGTGCTAAAGCCCTGGATTCTATTCTAAGTGGGTTTTGTGTTGCTTGGTTTTATATTTTTTGGCAAAGTACAGGGAAACATGTTGAAATGGTCTCTGATAATCAGCCATATGCTACAGATGTGGTTGATAGAGGTTGAAGAACGCTGGAATACTCCTTTAAATTCAGACTAAAATCCTTTGGTGTGTTAAGGTTAGACTCCAAGTTTCTTATATATGATCAAAACTTGGCAGTGAGTGCAGTAGGTTAATGTATGCTGATAGCGCTTAAAGAATGCAAGATGTTTTGCTTTTTAATGCACAGTAGCTGTGAATACCATGGAAAGTTGATCGTAGCTCAATACTCCTTCGCTATTCTGTATGAAAAGGGGCCAGGTTGGATTTCAGAGTTTTTGCCCTTCTTTTCTCGTCCTTTTTTGTGGAGTAGGTTAGAGCATGTGGAGAGCGCTATGCTAATGCGCTAGCAGTAATGCTATGCAGTGATTAATGTTTAACGTACGCGCCACAGAGTTGGCTGTTTCAAGCTAGCCTAATGAAGCCTGCAGGCACACAGCAGAAGGCTCTCTCTCCCTCACTCACTCTCTCTCTCTCTCTCTCTCTCACCCTCTCTCTCTCTCTCTCTCTCTCTCTCTCTCTCTCTCTCTCTGTCTCTCTTTGGATGAGAAGGAGGAGGGGAGAAAGAGGGAAGAAGAATGAGGGCTCGTTTTAAGTGTTTCCAATCTGGGTCCCATTACGTCACAGGGACCCAAACATGTCCTCAGCTCCTCCTTTTCTTGGAGTCTGTGTTTACTTGTGCAGTGTTAGTTTGTTAGTGTGTTGGCTGCGATCCCTTCCAGATGGATTGCAGATGGAGTAAGAAAAAAAGGCTGTATCTCTCTTCTCCTCCTCTCTTCTCTCCACTCCTCAAAAGCACACTATCCTTTGGACTTGTGCAGTTTAACTTTAGGCGAATGTTTCTTAGTGATTTCTGGTATTTTCCCAGTTTTGGGTCATTTCAGTGCTGACTTTCTTTCTGTCTGCTGACTTTCCTCCTTCATTAAAAACCTGTGTAAGTGTGTCACCTCGTCTGTGCCGCTTTGTTCTCTGCAAAAAATGGTATCTTGTCAAGTGAAATGGTCTTAAGTCTAGTTGATATACTAATATTTCCCATTTTTAAATGGTTGTGCACTGATTATAAGATTACTTAGCTTATTATTTACTTGTTTTAGGTAATTTTATCATGTAAAATTCTCAATATACTGGCAGATATTTTTTCTGGTTTCAAGCACATTTAATAAAACAAGCAAAATTATCTGTCAATATAGTGAGAATTTTGCTTAAAAATTGCTTAAAGCAAGTAAAAAAGTCTTAATAAGATAAATAATCTTAAATTAAGCTTAAAACAATCTCAACATGAGATATTAGATTTATTGACTATATTTAGGATCATATTACTTGACAAGATGTCATTTTTTTATTTCAGTGCTTTTAAACAGGAGCGTTTGGATCTCTCTCTGTCTCATAGTCATATGTCTCTCGTTCTTTTTTTCTTTCTCCCTCTCTTCTGTTAGTGTTCAGTGTTATATGTACTGCACCTGTGATTCCACTCGAATCACTTCATCACTTTAATGAAGGATACACACTCTCTCTCTCCGCTCTGTAAAGCTGCTCCACAATCTTTCTGGAAATTCTCTCTTCCCCCACTTCCTTATGTCTTTCTGTTTCTTTTTTCTCCCCCTCTCTCCTTCTTTTCTTACATCCCTTCTCACCCTCACTCTTTTCTCTCTTTTATGTCTTTATTTGTGCTTTTTTCTCTGTTTTCTATCTCTTTTCTGTCTCTCTTTTTTCGCTGTCTCTCTCTTGTCTGTCTCTTTCTCTTCTTTTCTCTCTGTCTCTCTTTTTCATCTCTCTTCCTTTTCCTTCTTTTCTATTTCGGTCTTCTTTTCTCTTTCTTTCTCTTCTCTCTCTCCTGTTTTTCTTGTCTTACTGCCTCCCTCTTCCTTCCTCACTCTCCCTTGTTTTCTCACTCTATCTCTCATCTCTATCTCTGTCTCTCTTTGCCCCCCACCTCAAACACACACACACACGCCCTCTCTGTATGTGTGTGAGTCTCCTGAAGGTATTTAATGAGGAGAAAGTTCCCATTAAAGGTGCTGTGCTGGATGTCATTACCCACAGAGTGAGAGAGATGGAGGGATGAAAATAGGCAAGAGGAAAAGAGTCCCTGAAGTCCCTTCCCTTTCTTTTCTTTTTTAATCTGTGTTTTTCGCCATAATCCTGTCTGTGTGCTGAGGGGGTCTGAGAGCTGGAGCAGGTTTTTGGGGGAGTGTAGTGTTATCTGTTTGAGTCACACCTGCCTCTACCTGCTCTTCTTTTTCCCTCTCTTGCTTCTTGTTTCTCACTCTCTCCATCATGCCCATGTCCTCCTCGTCTTCCTCTCACCTCTTTCTACACTTTTCCTTTCTCACCTTCCTCTCCATCATTGCTTCTACTGTTGCTCCAGCCTCAGCAGGTACAGAACTTTCTCCCTCCCACCCCTTTCTTTCTTAGTCTCTCAGCCCTGTTTTTTCTCCCTCTCTCTTTCTCCCCTCCAGGTCCCTTGTTTATTCTTTCTCTTACTCTATGTCCGTCTCTCTCTCTCTTTCTCCCTCCCTCTTTCTTTTTCTTCCTCTTTTCTTTTTTTCTTCCTCCCTCTCTCTCCCTCTTTCTCTTTCCATCTTCTTTTTTCCTCTCTCCTCTCCCCCTCTCTATTTCTCCCGCTCTTCTTCTCTCCCCTCCAAATTCCCTCACTAATTCTTTCTCTAACTCTGTTTCCCTTTCTCTCTCGTTCTCTCCATCTTTTCTTCCTTCCTCTTTCTCCCCTCCAAATTCCCTCTCATCCTCTCTCTCTTTCTATTTTCATCTCTCTCTCTCTCTCTCTCTCTCTCTCTCTCTCTCTCTCTCTCTCTCTCTCTCTCTCTGACAGCCCCCATCTTTCATTCACTGGAGCCATATGCCACACTGATGTCTCAGAGAACTACTACAGCTGCAACATCTGCTGCACAC